ACGGCCTTTTTGCGGCATTGCCTAGCCGCGCTTGCTCACACGAGTCATCCTCATGGCTCGCTGGCAGCAGCACTCACTGGTGCTGGCCGCCATTTTTGCGTGAAAGCTGGCGCAGCGGCGAATAGGATTTGGGTCTTTCAGATTCGTCACTTCAATTAGACACCATGAATTGGATGCGGGTGTGCCAGCTATGGTCGTGTCATTGCCAGAAAAGCAGGTCTTCCCGCGCCAGCGCGCTCGTGGTCACCCATGCGGCGGCATCGCTGAGAGACGTCCTCCCCACAGGAGGCTCTCCTGTCATAGGAGCTCTGAGCCGCTTAAATTGTGATGGATATGCGCAGTCTAGCAGTCAAGCGATTTCGAGCTGAGCCAAGTCCAGTGGCCATCAGCCCAACGGCGAAGAACTCATCTCGATTGGCGTTCTCTTACGGTCATTGTCAAAACTTCTACGATGGCTTCTGCTCTTGCTGCCCCTGCTCCTGCTAGTACTGCTCATGCTCCTCATGCTCCTCATGCTCCTCATGCTCGTCCTGCTCCTGCTGCCCCTGCAGCTCCTACTGCTGCTGGCACAGCCGCCACCCCAAGGGCTTGTGTGAGGCAGAAGGGCGGACAGCAGCACGCCCATGGGGCGAACGGCTGGAAGCAGGCAGCGGAGCCGCAGCAGCAGGCAGTGGGGCCGCGGCAGCAGGCAGTGGAGCTGCGGCAGCAGGCGGGGCAGTGGCAAGGGGTGGGCATCGTGCCTCAAAAGCAGTCACCAGGGGTGGGTATCATGCCGTTCCTCGAGGGCAAGCGCGTCCTCAAGTGGAGTTTACATTGAGCTCTTCAAAAGAAACTGCGCTACGAGAACAACAACTTCAAGGTTGGAACAACCGTGACTGAAATCTGGTCAGCCAATCCAAAACACCCTGGAAAGTTCCAAGGTGCCAGGTCTTCATTCCTCGGGACGTGTCGTGGGTAACCCACATCTTGCCAGCTGGTGCTCAGAAAGCCTCGCTCGAACGAGTAACTTTTGCAAGTTACGCCCAGCCTTCCGTGCGACAAAAATTATCTCAGTGTATAATCCGTGTGTAATGAGTCGATTTTTGAGTCGACTCAAAACGACCCCTAGTTTGAGACGGGCTGACACAGGTGTGTAGGTCGTCTTCAGAACTAGGGTTCCACGTGATGAGGGGAGAGAATGTCGTCGAAGTTGGTGGTTTGCGAGAGTGTTGGCGAGTAGTGTTGCGCGTTGCGCGAAAAGGACGCCCTTGAAGATCGGTTGAAGGAAAGCAGGGGGGTAACCCCGGCCGCGAAGCCGCTGGAAGAAAGCTTGCTTCGTTGCAAGAAAGGTGCGCATGGAGGTCGAACGCAGTAGATAACGCTGTAGTTCGGCGCGTATGAAACCCTCCTTGCAGTGCCGGGGGTGGAAGCAGGAGAAGGGAAGGTAGAGGTATCTGTTCATCGGCTTCTGAAAAGTGCCGAGGTCAAGACGACCGCACTCCTTGAAACACTGCCCCTTGTGAAGGACAACATCCAGAAAATCAACGGAGTGCTCCGAGATATTCCACGTGATCCTGATGGAAGGATCGAAGCCGTTGAAGGTTCGCAGGTACTCCTCCAGGTCAGCCCGCGAGCCTAGCCAAATGATAAGGCCGTTGTCGATGTAACGGACGTGGTAACTTGGTGATATCCCGGTCCACCTCTCCTTAAGCAGCTCATCGGGACAGCTCATAAAGAGGACCGCAAAGCAGAGTGCAACCGGAGTTCCCATCGCAGTGCCTTGTACTTGATGAAAAATCCTGCCGTCGAATTCCACGAAAGAATTCCTCATGACCCATCCCAAGAAAGCCATGAGCGGTTGAGGGAGCTGTGCTGGTGCCCTCAGAAGAAGATTGCTAACTGCTTCGAGCCCTCGATCGATGGAGATGCTTGGGTAGAGCGAGGTGACGTCGTAGGTGGCCAGGAGTACAGTTGGTGGAAAAACCGTAGCTTCCAGCTTCGCTAGCAAAGAGAGGGAGTCGCGCAGGTAGGTCGGTTGTTTGAGAACTAGTGGTCGTAGCTGAGAATCCAGCCATCGGCTCACATTAGTCGTGACCCAGGAGTGTGAGGCGACGATCGGTCGTCCCACGGGTACTTTCTTGTGAAGCTTTGGCAGGATATAGAATGCCGCTGGTCGCCATCCCCCTGGCGGTCGATCGAAAAAATATTTCGAAAGACTGTTAGGAAAAGCAGGTCCCCACGTCGCCTTCAGCTCCGTCAGTTGCTGTAGAACAAAAGGAATTGGGTCGTGACGAACCGGCTGGTACACTGTCGCGTTGTCAAGATGCTCCATGCAGAGAGCGATGTAGTGCGCGCGATCCACCACAGTTACTCCGACGTTTTTGTCAGCAGGCTTGATGACGGTGTCGCTGTCGAGCGATAAGGAGCATAAAGCCGTGCGGACTCCTCGCAAAAGATTGAGTCCATGGGACGGCTTACACGCTTTCAGCAGGAAAGATAGGTCGGCTCGTGCCTCCTTGAAGACATGCTTCGGGACCACGTCCCGCTCGGGTCTCCAGCTTGGATTCTTCACCCGGAAACGTGATGAGGCTGAAGACCCTTGATCCTTGAAGTAAAGACTGAGGGAGATCTTTCGATGCAGTTGATCCAGATATGCTTCGATGAAAAAATTCCATGGCGGCGTAGGTACGAATTTGAGTCCCATCCCGAGCGCCTTGGAGCTCAGGTTGTGTACCCCCCGGTTCCGAACGCGCGACTGCACCTGCCGTAAAGTCAGTCGTCCGAACCGGCGGAGTGCAAGATCGCGTGCAGTTAGTTCATGCGCGGCCCTTTTCCTGGGCCGCCGCTGCCGTTTTTTGGAACTTGGGCCGTAGTCGAGGAAGATTGTTGGCCTTTCCCTCCGCTGCCACTTGGAGACTTTGTTTTCTTCTTGCCTTTCCCTCGCTTCTTCGGAGCCTTCGGTACATCTGCCACGTTCCCAGAAGAGTTATTCTTCGGGTTCTTGGACGGGTCCGCCTTGGGCTTCGAGGACGAGGGGGCCGGTTTGAGATCCTGCGATCCCATTGACAAACTCTTTTGGAAATTTGCAGTCAGCTTTGCCTCGACGGTCGCAGTGACGCTCGTAGTCATGCTCGCCACAACTTCCTTGCGCATCGCCTCGACTTGCCGCTTAGTAGCTTTCAGCACGAGTTCATCGAGTACCGGAGCCGTTACCATTTTCTCCATCTCTTTAGCAGCAGCAGCTTTCTTCAACTCTCCAGCTTCACGCGCCTCCTGTTTGTGCAGCTCCTGGATGACGATCTCATCCTTTGGCGGTGACGATCTCAGACTTGGCCTGCTCGATGCACAATGCCTTGATCCTCCGAAAGCGCTTCTTAGCCGCATCAGATACGGTGAGCTCGGGGTCGGAGCTGAGGCCTTGTATGTAGTCTTCAAGGTTGGCCGCCAGAACTGCCACGTGAGAGGCGGATGCTGACTGAATTTCCTCAACCTCCGTCTGCTTGGACTTGATGAAATCTTCGTGAATGCGCTTCTGGTTCTCGAGATGAACAGAGGCGACCGATGCAGCCGACTTTTCCCGCGTCAGAGGGTACTTGGTCTGGAACTCCACGACCTTGGTGCGAAGGCTGTGAAGAATCAGACCTTGCTCATGGAGGGCCTTCATCTTCTTCAGTTTCGATTTCGCCTTGAGGAGTGCCTTGAAGTCCGTCCTGAAGCCCTTGACCGCCGCCGCCGTCCAGCCTTGAAGGGCTCCGGAATGTGAGACACGCGATCGGTAGTCGGGTTGATAGGAGCCTGATCCACAGGCTTGCCGTCTTTCTGGACGTCCATGTCGGCCATGTCGGGAGAATCTTCAGATTGCTTGTCTTGCTCGTCTTCCTCGCGAATCGATGCGGAATTTCCAACTCCTTTGCCGGTGCGGGAACGCTTGTATCCTGCGTAGGTCTTGGAGGAAGTGGTCCGCTCCGCGTGAATCAGTGCGAAACTCGTATCTTCTTCGCCAGCGTCACCCAAAGAAATTGGGAAACCCAATGAACTCGTAGCCATTAAGCGTTAGGGTGGGCTGCAGCGAAGAGGAAAAACTTTAGCAAAAAGAGTGACAGTAGGTAAATTGATACCCCTGTTGAAAACCGAGAATTCGAAGTTCCGAACTCAACTCCACTAGAAGATTAAAATGCAAACTAGTTTCGGCTGACTGGGACAGGCCCCAAATCAGACCTTCATCAGTGCTGGTGGAATTATAAAAGTGAGTTTACAAGCGAGCTTTTAAACAGAAACTGCACTACGAGAACAACAACTTCAAGGTTGGAACAACCGTGACTGAAATCTGGTCAGCAAATCCAAAACACCCTGGAAAGCTCCAAGGTGTCAGGTCTTCATTCCTCGGGACGTGTCGTGGATAACCCACATCTTGCCAGCTGGTGCTCAGGGAGCCTCGCGTGAACGAGTAACTTTTGCAAGTTATGCCCAGCCTTCCATGCGACAAAAATTATCTCAGTGTATAATCCGTGTCTAATGAGTCGATTTTTTGAGTCGACTCAAAAATCGACTCATTACACACTCAACTTCTTCCCTCTTTCTGCACGTCCCTGTTCCACTCTCTGCTCCTCTCACTCTCTCCTCACCTTTCTGCCCTCGTGAGGAGGCCGGCATGAATGGGCGCTAGGGGCCAGCGTGAAAAAGCTCGAGGGCCGGCTAGGACGGGCGCGAGGGGCCGGCAGGAACGGGCGCTGGGCGCGCGGGCCGGCGAGAACGGGCGCGAGGAGGCCGGCAGGAACGGCGCTAGGGGGCCGGCGTGAACGGGCGCGAGGGGCCGTCAGGAACGGGTGCTAGGGGGGGCCAGCGTGAACGGGCGCGAGGGGCCGTCAGGAACGAGCGCTAGGGGCCGGGGGGAACGGACGCGCGGCTAGCAAGGAACAGCGCGACTAGGGGGAATGGGCGGCTAGGACCTAGAGCGGAAGCGTGAGCGGGCAGCGGGACCTACCTACTGCTGATACCATCTTACAACTGAATAATGGATTAGAATAGGAGGGTACAAGGTAATATAAGCTAGTGAGTTGAACCCTCTAAGGCACAAACCTGTATAGTCTACTGCAACATACTAAGATAAGTATGACAAAAATAACTTTTCAATCAGCATCCACCTCTGAAAAAAGGCCAGCCAATCAGCATTACCCTATCCCAAAACCCTGAAAAAAGGCTGAATCAGCGTTAAAAGTCTGATATCTAGGGGCCTGGTCCATAACAAATGTCTTCTGCATGCCGTATGACACAAGTTCACTCAGCAACGGGGTGAGTAAGAAGTGGAAGATTCTTTCCCATTCTCATGTGACCCCTCTCCCACTCCCACACTACTTCAACGATGCCTTGAGAGCATGGAAGGCGTCTTCACAGCAGCGAAGGAGAAAGGCTGGATCGGGCACATTCTCCTTCAGAGCTGACAGCACTATGTGCGCCGAGCCGTTGTACGTCTGGAAATGCAGAGTGAGCGCCTGATGGAGGGGAGAGGCGTCGCGGGGAACAGGGGCAGTTGTAGAATGCAGTGTCAAAAGGGTGGATCAAATACATCCTCCCCTAAGTCTGACAGTATTATGGCGCCAAGCCAGGTGGGGCCTGGCTTGGCGCCATCACTCACCCCGCACCTACTGCCCATCACTCACCCCAACCTATCGCCCATCACTCACCCCAACCTATCGCCCATCACTCACCCGCACCCATCGCCAATCACTCACCCCAACCTATCGCCCATCACTCACCCCAACCTATCGCCCATCACTCACCCCAACTATCGCCCATCACTCACCCCAACCTATCGCCCATCACTCACCCGACCTATCGCCCATCACTCACCCCAACTATCGCCCATCACTCACCCCCAACCTATCGCCCATCACTCACCCGACCTATCACCCATCACCCACATCACTCACATGCGGCTGCCCCACAACGGTGGGGCTGATGCGGGCGATGGCATGGCCGCCCAAGCTGACCTCCTCCACAGGCCCCATCATGTTGGAAACGAAATGGTGGTCTGCTGGAACAGGCGGTGCATCAGCGCTCCCGCTGCCTGGAAGCGGAGGCAAGATCAAGAGAGGTGGCAGGGGAGGGGGTTGGGACCTCCTCCACGGCCCCATCATGTTAGAAAAGGGACATGCTGGTCGGATGGCATGGCACTGGCTGTGTGCACAGCGCTGCTGCTTGCTTGGGGGGTTGAGAGGGGTTAGGAGCGGGGTTCAAGAGGAATCAGGGAGAGAGATATGACCTCCTCCGCCGGGCGCATCATGTTGTGAAACGAAATGGTGGTCTGAAGGCACACGCCGTGCATCAGGGCTCCTGCAGCTTGGGGGGGAGGAGGGGAGAAGGTGGGTAGGGGGGGGGAGAGGGGAAGGGGGGGGGGGGAGGAGGGGAGGCGAGACAAGTGAGCTTGAAAAGACAGGCAGAACATCGTTTTGAGGCGTCTCAAAACTTGAAAAGGCAGGCAGAGCATCGGTGTGAAAAGGCAGGCAGAGCATCGGTGTGAAAAGGCAGGCAGAGCATCGGTGTGAAAAGGCAGGCAGAGCATCGGTGTGAAAAGGCAGGCAGAGCATCGGTGTGAAAAGGCAGGCAGAGCATCTGCCTGAAAAGGCAGACAGAGCATCGGTGTGAAAAGGCAGGCAGAGCATCGGCCTGAAAAGGCAGGCAGAGCATCGGTGTGAAAAGGCAGGCAGAGCATCGGCCTGAAAAGGCAGGGTGCTGCGAATCAGCGCCGCAGCTGCTTGTGACAACTGAGAAGGGCGCGCATGGGCAGAAGGTGGGGAAACACAGCAGGAGTTTGGCAGAGAACAGAGGCAGATGAGAGGAAATAAGGCTGGAGGGGGGGGGGGGGGGGGAGGGGGGGAGAGAGCTTATGTTCATGCCAGCAGCGCCGACTCGCCGAGCAGAGGCTGGCATGCACATAGTTGTAGTGGGAAGCTTTTGAGTTTACTCAAAAACGGAGAGAGTTTAACTTCACGAGGGAGTCGGGCTCGTGTCGGGCTTTTTCCCGCTACAACTACACCCGCGCCACATAATTGTAGTGGGAGGAATCGACAGCACGAGAGACAAAAA